CATTCTAGAATCTAATGCCAGAGATTTTGACCAAATGGCTTTGAAACGACTTGCACGTGTGGGAACGGACATCAAAGTCTGATGATAAGGATTCTTGATCCGTCACTTGGTGGCTACTGACCACGTGCCGCAATGCTCAGGCACGTAACAATATCCACCAGATTGCTCATCGGCTCAAGTTCTGAATTCCGAGGAAATAGTCATGATGATTTTCTGCAGAAGCCAAGAGGGGTCTACACCTATCTAGTACAGCTCTATAGGTCTACCCCACCAGTTGTGCTACTTACTAAATAGAAATAGTACTAAGTGAATTCATTTTTCGGCGATACTGTCCAATCAGCATACTGTCCGATGCGCTGACACAGACAAAAGTATGACTCGTCGGCCGATAAACTCGTGTTCTACTTACTAGATGATAATATAAGAACGCTTATCCTCTCTACTTCACTTGAAGTCTTTTTAAAATACAAGCCATACTTGAATTCATCAAACAGGAGCGCAATTCACGCCCACAATGTATCTCCGCGCCATCCACGCCGAATCCCACATCCCAGCCCTCCACCAACTCATCCGCCAAAATCCCCTCGGCATCCTCACAACAGCAATCAAATCCCCTCTCTACCCCCTCCTGCAATCAAGCCACATTCCCTTCATTCTGGACATCCCCCAAACAGAAGACTCATCGGACGAAACAATCCCCAATGGCACCCTCCGCGGCCACATGGCCAAGCAAAACCCCCAAGCCAAGGCCCTAATGGAAGCACTAGCAGCGCAGCAACAACAACAACCAGGCAACAATCCCAACTCTCTCGAACTAGAAGACGAAGTCCTCGTCCTCTTCACCTCTGAACACCACCACTACGTCACACCCAAGTTCTATACGGAGACGAAACCCGCCACGGGGAAGGTCGTCCCAACGTGGAACTATGCCGCTGCGCAAGCGTACGGCAAGATCCGGGTTTACTGTGATTCGAAGTCCGAGGAGACGGGGGCATTTCTACAGAAAGCCGTGGAGGATTTGACGAGGCAGAGTGAGGGGTCTATTATGGGGTATACGGGAACGGAGGGGCGGCCGGAGCCGTGGAAGGTCTCGGATGCTCCGGTGCCGTATGTGGAACTTCTGAAGAAGAATATTATTGGCATTGAGATTAGGATTGAGCGGCTGCAGGGGAAGTTTAAGATGAGTCAGGAGTCGGGGAAAGGGGATCGTGAGGGAGTAGTTAGTGGGTTTGAGGCATTAAAGACGGATGTTGCGAAGGGGGTTGCGCAGATGGTGAGGGAGAGGGGGGAGATGAAGGATGCGCAGAAGTAGGAGTATGGAGAAGTGTTTATGAATCAATGAGCAAAGATTAGATAGTATCTGATTATGTGGGGCGCCATGCATGTAGTGCCGAAGAATGGCACTATCTTAGTAAAAACAACTATATAACCGCAGCAGCCAGTCTAGCACATATAAGATGGTGGAAGTTATCATGCGATCATATCATAACCTCGTATCCTAGATGCAGTGAGCGAAACAGACTGTATCCTATTTCACTCTGCTGATTTCAATCTCGTCCTGATACACATATATGATTAACGCATATTTTCAGGCAATAACGACAGGGAAACACTTACAACTATATCTTCTGGGAAAAGAAGACATTTCATCCCCCAGCTCTCATACTTTGAGCTCCCACGAACAAACTCCCGGTAAGCCGGCGCACCAGGATGCACCACATTATCCGCGAGTACCAAAGAGCCAGGGTGTAGGAACCCAAGCCGTTCCGACAGCTCCAGATCAGGTACATAAAGATCCTTGATATGATCAATAAACATGAGATCGACACTAGGTAGCTTCCCTTCCGCACTTAGGCGCTTGAGCGAGTCGTCCGCCGGACCGACAACCACTTTGACGATATCGCTGAGGCCTGCCAGTTCGATAAAGTTCATGGCGATAGATGCAATGAGGGGATCAGCTTCCAGACTCCACAAGCGGAGGCCTGTCGAGGATCCACCAGCGGCTTGCCGCATGGCGTCTGCGAACATGATTGCGGAGTAGCCGACATAGGTGCCGAGCTCAACGACAACCTTGGGCTTTTCATCTGCGAAGAGCGTCGAAAGCTTCTTGGCTTTGTCTGGGCCAAGGCTGATAAAGAAGGCTTGCTTTGCAGCGAATTCGTCGATGAGAGTGAGTAAGGCAGACGGATTGCCGCGGATTTGGGGCAGGGAGGGGTGAGAGTAGATGTACTTTAGCAAGGAAATCTCCAGAGTATCGTGAGTCTCAGACTTGCAGAGAGAGACTGGTTTCTCATCAACTGGTGCCATTGTGTTGGATTAGTATGTGTCTTGGCGAGATATTTAGCCTACTGTACGAGTATGGGTGTAGAAGGGAGAGAGGGGTGTTGAACCGACGCCGGGCTAGAACAACGGAGGGGCTTACGCAGAACTATATATTCGTTCACATCTTGCTTATCGCGCATAGAGCGAAATGAAAAATGTAGAATGCAAGGTAGGAATGAGAAGAGTAAATGTCATGCCGTAAATTTCGGTTGACCGGTCAGTTCAGGGGGCGCGGATCGTGCTTTGATTGGGTGGCGGAAATACTTTGGCGGCCAGACCTTGAATCTCCCCACAGAGTTACTCCCGGCCTCGCTGCATCATCTTCCTCCATCTTTCATCCCCGCTCTGTCCTATCAGACACCATCATCGAACTTTATTGTCTACAGACTCTACATGTCTCAAATTTTTATCTCCATTGCAGATCACGGCCTCTCTGTGCGTTGGGCATCAAAACCGCTGGACTGGCATTCGATGAGGGGATCTCGCCACGCAGTGAAGACAGCGTCGCTACGCAGCCTACTATAGACTGTACGTCCAACGAGAATGGAGGAGCCGTGCTACACATGTCGACGCCGGCGCATTCGCTGCGACCAGTCTCAATCTCCTTGCGTGAAGTGCGCGACAAGTGGCTATCAATGCTTTGCTTCTAGACCTTTGAGATGGGTCGAAGGCCTAGCGATACGGGGGAAGCTGCGGGGCGTATCACTGGCCACTAAATCAGCTAGTCCAGCTAAAAAAGCAAAACCCCGAAAAGAGTCAGACTCGAGTGATGACAGTCTTGCATCGGCGAGTGAGTCTGCTCTTTCCGTTGTGCGGTCTCCCGAAAGTCAGGGTAAGTATAGCTGCTGCATACCCTATTGAATATCAATAAATCGCTCATATCGGATTAGTCACCCCATTGGAACCTGTAATTAGCATACCACCGACTATAGGCGATTTTGCCATATCTGACCTGGATGCAGTTTCCAGGTACTACTTGGATTATTGTGGGTCATTTAGTTGCGCTGTGCACGGTCCTGTCTAACGCTGCATCAGATAATGAAAGCATATGTGGGCTCTTCATCGTTTACGACAGCGATAGGAATCCTCTTAGGGCCCTAATGTCACTCGCGCTGCTTGACCGCACTCTCCTCAAGTCCGTACTGGCTCTTGCAGCGCGACACCGGGTAAATCGGCATTGCTCGTTCCGTGATCTCACCGTCAATGCATCATCCGATCAAATGATTGCAAACTCTGACGCACTTCGCTTCAAATATCAAGCCATACAAGGGATTGCACAAGCCCTGGGTGATGTGAAATCACGGAACAAGGATGAGACAGTGGCAAGCATATTCCTTCTAGTATTTCTCGATCTTCTGGAGTCTGGAAGTGATCGGTGGAATGTCCACCTAGAAGGTGCCAAAAGATTGTTGGAACCCAGTACACCTGATTCGCAGGCTGTTTCCAGACACGATTCCGGACAAACTATAGAGGACCTGCGTAATTTTCTTGCTAGTCAGATTTACTCGTAAGCAAGGAGCACTCTGGGTGTTGAGTTCTGTGACTGACGATCATCTTACTTTAGCATCGAAACCTTGGGTGGAACCTTTGTACGCCCAAAGTTATTGTCACAGTATGATTTGCTTGGGGGCCCACAATTTCAAGAGACCGTCGAGCAGTCATTCCTTGGATGTCCAGAATACCTGCTGGACGCTATACGGTATCTCTCTGCGCGAAGAGACACAATCGCCAGCTCCGAATGCCATGATGACTCCACCTGGAGCTACTTCGTTGAAGATACTATATCGATGGTAGACTTCATCCAGCAATTCGACTGTTCTGTATGGGCTTCGTCGCTACCATATCTGGGCACCACCCCTCCAAGAGATACAAGCTCTCTTTGCACACTGGCGCAATCATACAAGATAGGAGCTCTAATATATGGAAAACGCGTCCTTGGCGCTCTCACTAAGGAGTGTTTACCACTGGAGGACCTGCTCCAGGAGTTGCTTGCCACGATTGAAAGGTTGCAGAACGACGAGTCCTTGTACAAATGCATCCTCTGGCCCATAATAATCGCTGGTCTTGAATGCCAACGACAGGAGCAAAGAGATTCTGTGCGGACTTATATGGAAAGTTTTTGGGAGCAGACCAAGTGCGTGAATGTGATCAATGCTTCCAAGATTATAGAAGACCGCTGGCAGCGGTGCGACGGTACAGAACCTTCCCACTGGATATTCTCAATCGGTCACCTGGGCCGTGACTGGCTTTTGATTTGAGCGCTAGCTCGAACAGGCGCACAAAGATGACGCTGATACCGAGACAACATGGATGTTCTTGGGTTTTTAGGGCGATGTTCTATTTGACTATCTGAATCATTCACTTGACTTGGGATATGGCATTCAGAAAGCTCAATGGTGGCTTTCGATTTCAATGTTCAAGCAGGCCTCACTCATCCCGTTGCCAGGCCTTGGATGGATCGAAAGCCCCTTCAAAAGAGTGAGCAGGGCGTAGCCATTTTTCCAGACCTGCATCGAAAAGCTTTTGCGCCACTGACCAGTTACCGAGCCAAAATCTAACATACAAAGAGGGGATCAGATTAAGCCACTGATGACCCGCGGTACAGGCCCCTGGCGCGTCCTTAGTCATGCTTCTGTTATCAACCCCTCCCCGGACTCTTATCCTATCTTACCCCTCACGAAGCGTCGATCGTCTAAAATGCCACCATCAGTTGACTCCGTACCAAGCGACATGATATCAACCATCTTAGAGCCCTGTCATACTTCTTACACCGATTGCACTATCTTGCGGCAAAATGCCCTCCCCTGAGACCTACGATGTAATCATCATCGGCGGCGGCCCCGTTGGCCTTCTCCTCGCCTACCAACTCACCCGCTTTGAACTTTCAGTCTGCATTGTGGAAAAGCAAAACAAAGATACTCCAGAGGGCCGCTACGGCCGTGCTATTACCCTGTTTCCGCGGACGCTGGAGCTCCTCGATCAATTGGACTTGGTCCAGCCAATGCTTCAACAGGGATTTGCTTGCAGAAGTAGTGTGACGTATAAAGATGGAGTGAGACAGCAAGTATACCTCTCCTCCTGCTTAAGTATTTCATCTAACCAGACTGGGCAGGTTTCCAGGAAAAGTATGGACTTTCATGGAGAATATCCAGGGCACCGTGTTTGATTTCGCCCTTGTGCTGAGGCAAATGTACACGGAGAATATATTGAGAGAGAGGCTAGATAAGAAAAGGGTGTCTTACCATGGTTGTATGGAGTGTGTCGGCTTTGAAATCGGTCTGGGCGATAGTGAGTACCCAGTGACGGTGCATTGCTCAGGACCTGGTGGTATGATGACAGCCAAAAGGTATGCCTTCTGCACGAAAGGCTATTTAACGAAAGCATCATACTGACTGAGTGCTAGCAAATACCTTGTTGGAGCAGATGGTGGTCATAGTCTCGTTCGCAGATATGCCAATATTCCCTTCGATGGTGATTCATCAGAAGATCAGTGGATTCGCATTGATGGCATAGTCGAGACCAATATGCCCATCAATCGGGCTTATGGGTAAGCTAGATCCTGAATAAGCTATCTTGACATGATCTGATCTGAAAACAGGGCCATCGAAACAACAACACATGGGAATGTTCTCTGGGCCCCTCTTGACCACGGCGCTACCCGCATTGGCTACGCATACACACCCGAGTTAGCAGCTAAATATCCAGAAGGGGTAACCGAAGAAGTTGCTGTGAACGAAGCAATTGCGTGCTTGTGGCCCTTCAGTTTAAAGTTCAAAGAGGTACACTGGTGGACATTGTAAGCAACCCACGCAGGGCATTAGAAATCTGATTAACGAATCGTCAAGGTACAAAATCGGCCAGCGCATGGCCCGAACTTTTGCAACGCACAACAATCGTGTCTTCATCTGCGGTGATGCAGCCCATACCCACAGCAGCGGCGCCGCTCAAGGCCTGAACACTGGTATTCACGACGCCGTGAATCTTGCCTGGAAGCTGGCTTTGGAGGTGCAAGGGCTATCTCATCCGGAGGTCTTGGACACCTACACAACGGAGCGCCAGTCTGCAGTGCAGAGATTACTCAACTACGACAAAGACATCTCTTTGTTGATGACGCATAAATGGCCGGCTTGGTACGATGGGGACCCGAACGCGGACCCGAACGTTCTCCTCGGAGAAATATTCAACAATGCTGCACCATTCAACACGGGACTCGGTATATCCTACGAGGCCAACGTAATCAACCAACCCTGGGAGTCATCTACCGAGGCGGCTGTGGGGGTTCAACCAGGGACCCGGGCTCCGGATACCGAGTTGACCACGCCAGGGACATTCCAGTCTGTGCGGATGCACCAAGTTCTGCGGAACCGGTGCCAGTTTCATGCGATAGTTTTCACAGGCGGTGATATCAAGACATCGAAATTGGATTTGGTTCCTCTGCGGGAGTACTTGGATAGCCACCCGGAGCTTTCAAGGCACCCGGCCATTGCCTGGTTAACAGTGTGCGGCTCAGCCGGCTGCTCGCCGTACGAGGTGCTCGGGATGACAGGATTTGGCGATACCTACTTCGATGCGAGGGGAATAGCACACTACGCCTATAAACTCGATCCACGTAAAGCAATGCTAGTGGTGATCCGACCGGACGGGCTGATGGCATTCACATGTGCATTAGACGGAGAGACGATCTGGCAGCACTTTTCTAGGATACTGAGGAGCCAACCACAGGAGACTTGCTAATGATACACATAAACCAGACCGTTCACACAATACAAATAGACCGAATCAGACACACCCCCTCCTCAAATTCTCAAAACGACTCAGCGGATAATACAACGTATTCTCCGTACCATCCAACCCACCCAACCTGCCCAACCTCTCCGCAGTCCCCCTGACCAAGCTCCTCTCATGCGAGACATGATGATCCCCACTCAACTCCCACCACATAGCCCCTCCCAAATGCCTGTTAGCAACATAATCCGTCTTCATAGCCGCCACCTCCGGCGTATCATAACTGACCATCTTCCTATTTACCGGATCATGACACCAACTCGCCATCAACCTCGCATCCATCATCTCCCTACTCCCCTTCAACGGCAAATCCTTGTAATCCCACACTCCATTCTCCCAACTCCCCTCCCCAACCCCCTGGAACCCACCTCCGGGCCCATCTGTCCCCTCAAACGCCCTCCCATACAACGGCAACCCAAAAATAATCTTCCTCGGATCCCTCACCCCACCGTTCAAATACATCGTCACCGCCCCATCCGCACAAAATGGGGTAATCTCTCCCCTCCCCGAATGGAACACATTCGCCATATGCCCGGAGTTCTTATCCCAACTCCCACTGAAATCATAGCACATCAGATTCCAGAAATCCAAGTACGGATCCATATCGCCGATCCGCAGTTTCCGGATATTATCCGGCCCACATGGCGCCGCGATCGTCAATAACAGCCTCTTCCCACCTAGATGGGTAGCGGAGTACTCGTCCAGCACGCGCCTGACATCCTTCAGTAGAATAACAAAGTCTTTTGCTTGCGATGCATCAGCTGGATACTCCCAGTCGATGTCGATGCCGTCGAAGCCCAGGTCCGCGAGGAGGTGCACGGCGCTCCGGGCGAAGGTTTCGCGCCCGCGCGGGGTGGATGCTGGCGCGGCAAAGTTGGGACTGTAGGTCCAGCCGCCGATGGAGAGGAGGGTTTTTAGGTGTCGGTGTTGTTGCTTTAGGAGGTAGAGTTGCTTGATGCAGCCGTAGGCGTTGGTGCCAGGTTCGGACCAGCTGTCGTTGGGATAGTGCTTTTCGAGGTCGGAGTAGGTGTCGGTTAGGAAGCTACAACGATACAAATGTCAATTAAGAGGACTGGTTTGGAGATTTGGGGAAGGGACGTACACTTCACCGGTCGGGCGGATGTTGGCGAAGGAGTCTAATGATGTTAGAACAAGAACAAGGTTGAATAGAGACTCAGTACAATCGGCACGTACAGAGAATATGGGTAATATACTCTGCAGGAATATCCTGAGGTTGATAATTACGGCCGTAGACGCCCTGTCACGATTGAAATTAGTTTCATACTACACTGATTGATACCCAGAGAAATATAGCAAGGGAAGGTGATGTTTACCCAATTAGTAAAATACCCGACAGTCTTATACCCCGGTCTCCCGACATTAATCCACGGAGGCGGCGGACGGGCCATCGGAGGACGTGGGGGAACCGCGGGCGGTGCTCCTCCAGCAGCAGCAGCGCTTGGAACAACCGGCGGCCCCGGAGGACAGACAGCAAGGTGGATAGGAGGATCGGAAGGTGAGAAATGGCTAGCGCCATCGCCGAGAATTTCACGACTCTCCGGAGGAGGAAGTTGAGACTGATCAGACCCCGGAATATTCAGCTGCTGTCCCGGATAGATAAGATCTGGGTTGGTGATCTGCGGGTTGGCTGCTCTGAGAGCGTCGAGAGTGACGCCGTGGTCTTGGGAAATTTTCCATAGTGAGTCGCCGCTGGCGATGGTGTAGGTGGACATTATGGAATGTGAAGGATTGAATATGGAATATGAGGATGAGAGGGAAGGATAATGAAAGGAAGATATCGAGTGATGGTTATTTGTTGACTGGTAAGCAAGCAAGCATATAAGGCTGTTGTGGTTGTTGAATATATGTGGCACCGCCCGGTTGTGGCGCGGGGGGTTTCAGGGGTCCTTTTATACGCTTTACTGTGTTGGTTTTAGTGGGCACACAGCCTTGGGGTATTTTTAGATTTGAAAGGTGGGAAGGGGAGGGTTGGTGTGATGTCATGTTGTTTTGGTGGTAGGCAGACATTTATTGTGGGTAGCTAGTACTTTTAGGGGATAGTCTGTTGAATTTTCTTGAGGTGGAGATGACAGTCGTAGTTGACGTCGGCGAGAAAAGTACTGAATAACCGGGGAGCATGTTTCTACATTTCCAGATATATCAATTGTTGAGACATTCACTGTAGACAGGCATTACCTGATCCTCTACTATCTCTTACAACACCAGCTAATCCTTGAATATTGGGATCTACATACTAGTACATTCGAACTACATACTTTCATTTTCCGTCCTGAGTCTAGCCAAAAATCAAGGCATCTGTAACGAAGACAGGTGTTTGTGTGAAGGACGAGAAAGAAACGCTTCAGAGTAAATCTAATTTCACCGCTAGATGGGATTCTGGCGTGAGGTTTTTCCCCTGGGAACTCTTTGTATACGTTTGCCCGGTCCTGCACTCATCACAGAGCTTGCCTCAAGATATCAGTCCCCGACAATACCTTGATTACCGGCGATGAACCTCCTAGTAAACAGTATGATGACAAACCTCCTGGGCTTGCGTCCTGGAACAATCATCGCTATATTGCATGTGAGAGGGGTGTTACTGGATTGACGTCATCCAGGAACGCGGTTTGGTCGCTACTCTTTGTAATACTGGAGAATCTCTCGACTAAGGCTATCATTGAAGGGATGGAAGGAGTGATAGACAGTTCCAGCTGACTTTCATGTGTAACGGATCTGGTTTAGAACAGCAGATCAGGAATGCGTGAGATTCTTTGACGAAGCCTTGGGAGGGATCCCGGGTTGAACGGGCCCCTAGTGCAGGTCTTGGTGGTACTGGCAGCAAATACTCAAATGACAATCCTGGTGACTGAAGTGAGAAAGGTTCCGTGTGAACCTAAATGGTCAGGTTCGTAGCATGACGGATATGAAATGTTGAGAGCTGGAGTCTGCAGGCTTATGACTCAACAAAACCGCATCCCAAAATGATCATCGTATACACTCAGTACATCAATAACGATGATTCGTGAAATGAATAGAAAACGTATCCCACAAAGTCACCACGATACAACCATCTGATTCAAGATGTAGTTGTATTCGGCAACCACTTCAGCTTGCAGCTTAGTTATTTACTATAGAGTTTTACAAAAGAACAAGCCATCACCTATAGGAGCCCTCAAAAGCTGGTAGATCTTGCATCACAGAATCTACAGAAATAAACTCCGGAGAGGTTGACATACCGTATCCAAGAATGAACATCATGTTCTTGCATTGACTCAGGTGCTACGGTCACACCCTCCGAACATTAGTAGCTTTCACAAAGACATGCTTCATTGGCTCCCAATAGGCTTCACCACTCATATCTGACATCTCTTTCTGGAAAGTCAGAGCGTTGCTTTAATGGAAATTTCCTTTCTTTCTTTTTTTCAAATGCATCCTGCCCAGTGTGTCGATCGCCTGACTATTGACAAGCAGTCACCTTCATCATTGCAACTTGAACAGGTGAGGAAAGCCCGAGGATTGAAGACAACGTTTATTTTGAGTTCAGCTTGATCCTTTCACCATAATCACTGGACTTATTATGTTCGTTCACAGGAATGCAAGGGTTATGTCGCAAAACAAAGTTTAGTGAAACCATCCTCATACAGAGGGGAGCTCTAACGTTTGTCTGTGATCTTCAAATGGGTATATTCCCTCTTCAGTTGTCATGTTTACTTTTTGTGTTTCAGCTACGCCTAAGACTAATATTGATTTTCTTTTGCTTTTCCAAATTGTCTAATATATTAGACTAGGGACTACCGCGACCCCAATGCTGCATGCACAGACACTTAGTTTCATGCAATAACCACCCATGGACCAAAAAGAGTTGTTGACTACTAGTAGGCGACCTCATGGGGGACTATTACTGTCAATAGCACGATTCCTACCGTTCTGGACGTATATCGGCTGACAATAGCCGATGCTCGTTCCCACATTTGGGAAGCTTTCTCTTGAGGGTCCTTCAATCCCCTGAAAGTTAGGGGAAGAATAGCCGCCGGATATGTACTGTGGGTGGAGTACGGAGTATCTTGAACGGTGTATTTCGAGAGAAACTACAAGTTATGCTCCTCGATTACCAGCTTATAGGGGTATATAAGCAGTACACCGTCCTGGAGGGCCTGGTGTCATGGATACCGTTGCTTATCATCTCACACATAAACGAGTTCGTTCCCAAAACAGACTGTTATACTCCAGACAATGGCACCAGTCGATATTTCATTTATTCATTCTGAGCTCGTTGACAGGGAGGAAGTTGCTCGTGTATGTGCAACTACCCTTCCTGTTCGTAAAAGCAAGTACAGTCATCTGGCAGAGAAAGCGGTCTCCGAGTTCCAGCAGCGGTGGCAGGAGGAAATCGGGTTCACATATTGTGGAGGACGTTCTCCGAAGGGCCCCGTTACTGCCTTCTTTCCACCGGAAAGTAAACAAGATCGTGTCGAGGTTTTCACAAAACTCATTGAGTACTTTTTTGCTCATGATGGTCAGTTATTGTTGATACGATTGCTATCATTGTTGTTTCCACCTTCTCCCCGGAGCCTTGAAGTGAGCATAGCTTTTTCGTACTGAGGGTCTGATTTTGACAGATGTGCTCGGAGCTTCCGGAAGTGCTGAGGTATGAATGGGTGGTGTAAAAGATCAAGTCGTGCCAAAAGGCGACTTATACTAATTTTCGATAGATCGATGAAAACGAATCGACAGACGCAGTTGGATGGGGCATCCGCAAAGGCACGATCAGCAGTGTCCGAACCAGCGCAATGAAACACATTCAGTCCGAAGTTTTTTGCGTCTTGTAGAAATCGACAGGAAACGCGGAAATCTCATTCTTCGAGCTATCAAGAATTTATCCCAGGTTCACGAGACGATAGGCTCTCGGGGTCTCAAGACTTGGGATGATCTAGTGCAGTATCGTGTTCAGGATTTCGGAGCAGAGTATGTTCACTAGTCACCTTGATTATGCCTATCCTGCGCAATATGAGTTACTGATGACATATCAGATTGAATCTTATGTCGATTATCTATTGCTGCGAGCTGAATCTCACCCAAAGAGATATTGACACACTGGAAGAAGTCTGGTGGCCTGCGACTGCGGCGGCGGCGCTGGTCAACGATCTGTATAGCTTCAGTAAGGAGGTCATCCTGGAGCTCGGCACGGATACAGATACAACTATCACGACGCCCAACTCAATTTGGTACTTGATGAGAACACTCAACTTGACCGTTTTCCAGGCAAAAGCCTTCCTAATTGACAAGATTGCACAGCTGGAAAAAGATTTCATCGCGAGAAAGTCTGAGTATCTAGCCAAGATGGATTCGATGACTTCCAGAACCGACGATGTCCGTTACTTCCTGGAGGTGGTTGGCCTAGGTTTATCTGGAAATTGGTACTGGCATACTGTAGCTGATCGTTTCCATCGATGGGTTGAGTATCTACAATTTCCGCCCGCCAAGTTGTTCGATTACGATGAAGCCACAGCAACCTGCGCTACATTTTTAAACAGCCAAAATTTGAGAGCCCAAACTAGTCGGATCCTGGAATCACTGAGAACACGCCGACAATGACGGATGAGCCTTACTATAAGGTTGGCAGCCAAATGAATTCCTTTCGGTTTAATGTCGCGAACAGGGAAACTGACCATCTTGCCGAACAGGTTCTCCAGCAGCCTATCCATTATCTTCGGAGCGTACCATCAAAGAATATAAGAGGCACCATCATTCAAGCTTTAAATCTATGGCTCAACGCGCCAGAATCGGCAGCAGCGCAGGTAGAAGACCTGATCGGACATCTGCACGAGTCGTCGCTTCTGCTTGATGACATCCAGGATAGTTCCGAGCTCAGACGCGGTCGGCCAACTGCCTATCGCGTCTTTGGGGTACCACAGACTATCAATGCTGCAACCCATGCACTTACTCTGGCGTTTGAGAAGGTTGTCCCACTAATGAAGCCAGACAGCTCACACTTATTCTTCAGTAAGACTCTACCCAGAATGATGATAATTATTTGTTAGCTGACCGGAGGTAGATGAGCTGCGCAACCTTCACGTTGGACAAGCGATGGACCTCTACTGGGCACGTTCTGGATATCGTCCTTCGATTGCAGAGTACCTGGAAATGAACCGGCTGAGTAAGTTTCTGTACAGCCACAATCACATCCCGAGCTGATACTGATGGGGAGTTCACAGAAACCGGCGCACTGTTTTGCCTCGCGAGCAATCTATTATCCTATCAAGGGTCATTTTCAACTGGGTAGGTAGAGAAATGCCTACCTTGCAGACATGGTGGTGCTAACAAAATAGCAGAACCATTAAGCAAACTGATTTGAACGATCTTATGATCGTTCTGGGTCAGTATTTCCAGGCTCGAGACGACTATATCAATCTGGCATCAACCAAGGTAGATATTCAACACGCAAATCTACAAATTCATCCTTCTAACGACATATAACTGGAATTATAGTATCAAGAGCAAAAGGGTTTCGCTCAGGATCTCGATGAAGGCAAATTGTCGCTTCCATTGATACACCTTTTGACACAGTCGCCCAACGCGGCACTGATCGAGAATATCCAGCAGGAACGGGCGAGGAACAACAAGCTGCCAGCTGATCTGAAGCAGCTGATCTTGAATGAAATGCGTGATCAGAAGATTCTGCAGCTCACCGAAGAGACACTGAAGGGTTTAGAGGCCAAGGTGTACCGACACCTGGAAAGACTGGAAGTTTCCGCTGGGATCAAGAACTTTACGTTCCGGTTCTTGCTGGATAGATTGAGGGAGATGTGACTTTTGTAGATTTCTGAATAACTTCTAATATTCCTGCCTTCAGAGGAAAAGTATAATAAATAAACGTGATGGAATTAAACGTGGAATCCAGACATCTCCACCTGTCAAACAAACACAATCTCAGCCACAAGATTTAGCAAAAGTCAAATTCCGACGAAATGCCAGCATCAACGCCAAATCGATCGCGCAGTGGATCATTCTTCAACAATGGGAAAATCCCATATTTAGAATTAAATAGATCTCGTCAACTACCGGAATGGGAAATTGAGAAAGCTGAAATAGACCCTAATGAGGACTGATCATCCCTGCCCAATCTGGATGAATAAATGGTTCGCTATGCTTTAGTGCAGGGATGATCGGCAGTCATCAGAGAGAGTGAGTGAGAAAGCCCAAAGAAATTGTGGGTTCGGTTCGGTTCGGTTCGAATCGAATCTTCTCCGCGCGAATCATGGCATCATATGGTCTTATCACTATCCGTAAACATACAATTCTCACCATAGCAAGATAATTAAGTCTCTCGATGGTACTAATGTCATGTTTACTGCTGATGGTGGCAGGCAAGCAAAAATATTCGGAAAGTGACTGGGGCTTCGGAAGCATCGGGTCGAGCTAAAAGCGAGGCTAAAAGAGTTAGTGGCTCATCAGCAGCTCGTGGTCAAATTGCCGACATTTTGATTCTCCCCTTGGCTTTGGGCTGTACCATGGATAGCTGTGTCGGCATGATTGAGTTGGTTGGTGCCAATCAATCGATTGATTCTACAGGGTTGGAAAGGGGGGCGTGATTGCACAACCGGAGAAAACTTCACGCTGTCGCCACTTCCATACCCTAAACCAATCCGGGTGTTCCGAGGGAATCCAGTTCAGGCACCCACGATTCCTCGGTCGTGCAGCTACTAATTTAGCATGATAGAGAGAGAAATTAAAAGAGAGAAGGTGCCATCACCCAAAGCTTAACGAACGGATCAAATCATTTCCACCGAACTATTTACTGGTCAGCCTTGGGTGCCCCACTGCTGATATGGAGGAAGTTAGGAAGAACCTTCACATCCCCAAAGCTTTTTTACGAGTATTTATCTCCGCTTACCCCTCTTGACCTCTCTTCAGCTGCTTATTCCCCCCCTCCCCCTTTTATCGCCTACAATATGCGTCGCATCACCACTGTCGCTCGTTGATTTCGCATCTCCGCCCTGGATGGTTCCTGCGTCACATCCAACATGAATATTAATGTCCGAAAGGTGCAGACGCAGCTCTTCCGGCTGACCGTCTCCACCGCTTCCCTCTGCTTCCTGCTCTTCCTCTACATCTCCTTTGAGTGGTCGCCATCTGCCTCCGCTGGATTCAGCGCATCAAATTACGAAGATGATCTCGATTCCGCCGTTCCCGCCATCTCCGCCTGCAATGGCTTCAACCCCGCCACGGTAGCTGATGTTCTGGATGAGACCCTCACCGCCAAACTGTCCATCAATGGCAGCGCCGTCGATGACTTTGTCTGCAGCATCATGACCCACGATATGAGTCTGTCTGCGAAGCTGGACTGTCCTGCGACCATCAGCCCGCGCTATGCCGATCTCCCGGTTCGCGCATCCAAGAGCTTCCTTTCGAAACCTAAGATCAAGTATTTCTTCGCTCTGGATCTCTATCAATCCGCTCACATTATGCTTCCCTTGATGGGCACTATCGTCGAGACGATGCGCTTCCTCGGCCCCGAGTATTGCGCTCTCTCCATCGTCGAGGGTCGTTCCACCGACGGGACCTATGATATTCTCAATCGGTTAAAGAGCGAGATGGCCGCCATGGGCGTGAGATACTATCTCTCCACCAGCGATCTCAACCCCAAAGCGATATGGGAAGACCGTATCAAGCACCTCTCGACACTGCGCAACCAGGCTCTCAAGCCGTTAGTCTCTGCCGGAGCGGGAAAATTCAAGCCGTACGCAGCGGACGCAACGATCCTGTTCATCAATGACGTCGTTCTTTGCGTAGAAGATCTGCTCGAGTTGTTGTATCAGCACCAGAAGCAGGACGCGCGCATGACTTGTGCCTTTGACTGGAATGCCGCCGGTGGGCCATTCTACGACTCGTGGGTATCGCGCAGCATGTCTGGCAACCTCTTCTTCGAAATCACTCATGATGCGCGGTACTGGCTCACCAAGGACATGTTCTTCGACGACCAACCGAATCAGCAGCGATATGCAAGGAAGCTACCGGTACAGGTCTATTCGTGCTGGGGTGGCATGGTCATCCTGGATGCGGCGCCCTTTGTTCAAAGAAAGCTTGAGTTCCGCAACCACAAAGACGGCGAGTGCCATATGGGCGAGCCCACGTTGCTGGCCAAAGATATGTGGGGCCAAGGACTGGGTAAGATCTTGGCAGTGCCTTCAGTGAATGTGGCGTATGAGTACAAAGCAACTCGTGAGGCCAAGAACGGCCAAGGATACGTGCACAATGTCCTTGAAAGTGCAGACTACAAAGCGGGTAAGGAAATGGTTGTATGGGAGAAGGAGCCACCCGTTCGGATCAAGTGCATGCCTTTGTTCAATCAACAATCATGGGTGAAGTCTACATGATTATACCTTTTGTATTTATATCACATCTCTTTTGAAGGCTAGATATAGATATTACTGATACCCCTACATGAGCCATGCAATATCTGAACTTCCCATTTCCTTGCAATCATCTGATGCATCATGGCTCCGCTGCCACTCATGCTTGCCCAATTTCCAGTTCAGCCGGTCACAACCGTTCACTACTTGGAACAGTCGTCTTGTCGCACCGTGACAATCAAAACGGTGGCTGTAAAAAAAAAAAAAAAGTGCGTGTGTTAACTTGTTCCCACGCACGTGTTCTTCCTTCCACGGAAATTCTTGACTGTTCCAATATCCACAACTGCCTCTGGATACTGCCTGCTTTTCACCGCAAGTATCCCGGTTAGAGCAATACCCTCATTACTGCTGATCAGCATAAAAGGCACCTGCATACTGCCTGCAAGGGTGATATCCTATCCATCTATTGGTCAGCCCACCTACCAAGGAGGCCTGCATCAACAACGGAAATGGCGAACAACCAATCTGTCCAAGAAGAAGTCAGTGAAGCAGACGTTCTTCGTGCAATAACTTACCACCGCCGAGACTTCGAGCTGGCGGTAATTAGAATCAGACTGTCCGAAAACGAGAAAGTTCTACCTGGCATCAGGGATGCATTCAACCGCCCATTCAATCCAGCGAAGCCCGGCCTTTTGGACTACCTGCCGGTCGAAATTTTCCACCAATGTCTCCTGGGCCTAGACCTCAAGACACTCTTTGGGCTTCGCCATGTCAACGCCCGTACCCGCGACATCGTCAGCACCTTCAAACCTTACCAGAAAGCCATAATGTACGCCCAAGATCTCGTATGTGCACTCCTCCGCACAGGCTTGGCAAAATGGTACATATTGGACGATATCTTCGACGTCCTCCACACGCGAGAGTGTACAATCTGCGGCGCCGAGTTCGGCGGATTCGTCTTACTCCTCCCTCCCAACCTTACCAGATGTTGCTTTCCTTGTGTCCGCACCAAATCTGAAGTCGGCCAACATGTCATCGACCCGATCACCCGTCGCTTCAGCTTCGAGCGCGATTACGAGCTAATCACCCTTTCCGAGGCCCACAACCTCTATGGAGTGAGCCCAGCAGTTCTGCGCCGCGAAAACGTGCCCATCTTGAAATCACTCCCCGGGGTGTATGGCTTGAAAGAAACGGAGCGCAAAATGCGCCGCTCGCTCGTGCACGACAAAGCGGTCCGCGAGCTCAGCACTAACCACAAACGCGGCCTTCCCTGGTCAGATACATCTCGCCGCAATGGGGAGATGTTCCTGCGGTGGTGCATGGCTACTATTGCACTGCCTTGGGTGGATCCGGGGACTGGGGAGATTGATCGTGGGGTTTCGTGCAGGGGCTGTCAATGGCGGTTTGAGCAGATCTCATCTGACGAGAGAAGTTTTGGATCGTTGTCTGCGTTCAGAGATAAGGTATACTCGAAGTCTTGGTTTCTGGTGCACTTTTGGGGTTGTAGAGATGCGAAGAAGCTCTGGGAGGAGAGTAAGAAGGGGACGGTGATGGCGGGGGATTCGGAGTTTGTGCGTCGTGGAGGATTTATCAAGGACCGGAAAGATGATATTGCCTTGGAGGTGGTTGCTAGGAAGAGCCCTATATCTACGGTTGGATAGGCAGCGAAGCTGCGGAGTTCTACTTGATGGTGGATTCCAATGACATTGTGACGGCTTTCTGGGAGCTGTTGAGCGATCGGTCATTCTTGAAAGTTGGATTCGAGTCGAGGGAGCGTGGTTGGATAGTCGTTGAAAATCTTTTGCTGTGGTTGTGGGGGATATCTGGATATTTGTGACGGGACAAGGGTATTGCGCTCAGGATATCTACTTTCAAGGTGGACACTGGAGCGGGCTAACAAGTGAGCTATTGCTCTGTTGTACATGATCGTAATCTAATTATATCAGACTGACCTTTCGCTAAAAGCTTTATTTTCTGTAGCTGTGTTGACGATTTTAGTAAACATAGCATACTCTAGAGACATGAAGAATCAGGGTAAAAGTATATCACGATAAGAGATCAGTTATGACCAGAGAATTGGTTTTCATTCTGCTATCTCAACCCCGCTACCCCAATACACCCAACATATGTCGGGATATACTACTACTATCTCTCCATCAGTACTGATCAGACCCGAGACAGTATACCATTTTCCAAATTAGAATCCACCCCTGAATCAAAGCAGAAAGAAACTCTCGGCTTGAGGACAGTACTTATATAGTAGTCCTTCCAATTTTCAAATAAGATATTGAAAGCTGCTACTATCACGTTTCATGGGATTATTATATACATGACTTCTTAGCTTTGTATTCAGAGTGTGCCACTGTGCATAATATTAGTTGACTCGCTGACTTGTCAGGATATACATGGTTGTCATAGGTCGAAGCAAATGCAACAAACGACTTTGGACAGAAAATATGCAACATGTGCAATGTAGTAGTGAATAGGAGTTCATCCAAACATCAGCACAAGGACAAATATTTAGCATCAATGAAATCTATATACCAACACTGACGAGTTGGAATAAAATCAAACACCCACTAGCTCGCTAAGTCTTTCGAGACTAATTACGCATCTGCTGGATTGTCGATCAAGGGACTCATGCATTATAAATGCTATGAATATATTTAGCTCTTTATTTGTCTGTACGATTATCACAGATAAACCTACTAATCCACTATCTGAAACTTCTTTCTTTTCATTATCTTCTTTATATAATCTTAGACTTTATCAGAACCGTTATTCGGTGGTAAATATTCGAGAGCTATGATATCAAACATCGTCATAATTAGGAAAAACTTTTGTTACTTTCTATATGCAGAATCTTCTCTCTAGCTTTTCAGTTCCCTTCTTACTCCTCCTCTACTTACCTTGCCTGTCTTCCCAATGGTCACTTTCTATCTACTCTGAAAGTAAACCACCGAGCAATCCCACACCTACTTCGATGCCCCTGCATCTACCTCCATCAAATCCCCACGACCCATCCACTCCTACTCTATACACTTACTATCCTACCCTTAGGACCACACCCAAGCTCCGAGGTTTAAACTCATCCCAAAATGTCCCCCATCAGCCCCACCGCATTCCAAAACACCCTCCAAGCAGCAACAACCCAGCAAATCCACACCTACACAACCATCACCTCAATAACAATACGCTGGGAAAAAGACGACACAAAAGCCCACAAAGTGACCCCATATTTTAAAAACATCCTCCAAACCCTAAACCTCCCACCAGCCATCGAGCACATCATCCGCCACAGCCACAGCCACCCAAACCCCAATATCCCATTCCAAAAAGCCATTCATGATATCCTCGCCAAATCCAAACCCAGAACCAAAAATGACCATAACCTATTGATAGTTCACTACGCAGGACACGCTTTTACTAAAAACGGACAACTTACCTTCGCAGAAACCGCTACCGCTACTTCCGAGAAGACTGTCAACGCAGACACCTATCTGCTGAAAGATGTCAGAGCAGTCCATCTAGACACACTACTCATTCTCGACTATTGCTACATCGGGAATATACCAACTCGGGCCGCAACCATCACAAACAGGGTAGTGGAGATCCTCGCAGCAACCAGCACACAAACACCCCGAAACAGGATCTCATCCGAGAATACATTCACCGCTAAGCTCGCAGAGGAAATCGATCGCAGACAGCGGAGCGGGCACACATATATAGAATTTCCTGATGTTTTCCAAACCTTAAAGTCCCATGGAGAGAGGGATAAACTCCGTCCTACACATGCGTTGCTGGTTGGTGTTGGGTCGGTTGTTTTGCCGCTTAGTGGGTCTGGGACTGTTGATCCTGGTAGTATTGCACCGGTGTGCACGGTGCTGTTTAGTGTGAGTGTTACGGAGGGGTTGACTAAAGAGGAAATGAGGGACTTGAGGGCGTTGATGAGGAAACTTCCTTGCTATGCGGGTCTGGAGCTTGATAGGGTATATCCTGGTAAGGCGATGTGCTTGGTCTTGCGTTCGGCGTTGTCGGTTTATACCAAGCTGCATAGGGTGCAGGGGTATTCGTTGATTGCGGAGGGTGTTGGTGCGCCGATTGAAATTGATTGTTTGGTGTGATTTGTGTCTTTGGGGCATATTTCCTTGAAAAACGGATGACAAGAGATTGAATTGGACTTGTGCGTCAACTAGTAATGACGAAATGAGATGATGTTTAACTTTTAGATGAAGACAAGCTATGATATCTTCATGGATTATGAGTAATTCAACGTGCCGGTTATAAGAACGAGTCAAATTAGATTAAGACTATTGAAGGGTGTCATGATAGGAGGCAGTAACTATACCAGCATAATATAAGGCCTCATGATTCTTCATTCATCTGAACAGTTCAGTTTGACTTGTACTTCTATATCTGAACGTGTCTGCCATTGAGATCCCAGGTCCGTGTTAATTCGTCGGATAATTATCTCCGGTAGTGTGTTTTTCTTCTATTCTTATGTATGTAGTATGGATCAAGTATTTCGGATATATATTGGATAAAGGTATCCTTCAGTGAATGATCAATCATTTTACTACTGAAGACAAAAACAGTCGATCGATTAGCGTACCTAACCACTAGAGCCCGCTAGCAATGGATTGTCGGGATTTAGTCAGAACTGGAAGCTACATAAAGACTGGATTGCTTGACAAGTACGCCGGATCGACCTGTACAAATGCATATTCCGTTGTATCCGCACGGGTATTCTCGGATAAGTCGGATCTATCAAAAAGGATGAGGCAATTGTTTCCACCCATGTCAGCCTGCTTTGTTGTTCAAAGCGGTCTCGGACGTATACAGCTAGCTGGTCTTGTTCCGCCGACGATCGGGCTCGGCGATGCCACCCCGTATCTCCGGACATAAGTACCGTGTAGTCCGGATCCGGAGCTGTTCAATGCAACGTCTCCGGAGATGTCACTGCATGGTCGTATCTCCGACATCTTGCCGATAATAAATCGTGCCAGATGGATTGGAAATTCATTCCAAGCTGTCGACAATTGCATATTTGGTCCTCCCGGCTGCTATTTTCCGGACTGTGGCCATTTATCTCCGACTGAGTGGTTAACTAATGTACTTCTCTTGATTTATCGGCTTTTGAAGAGGTGGATGGCATTCTGGGGGATAATGATTTTTTGAAAAGAGGAGAGCGCAGTCTGCAGCTACTGCGCTTTATCAGTGTTTAGGATTGACACGGGAGCTGGCTGCAATTGGTGAAATCAAGCTAACCTGACACGGAAACATTAGGAACAGCATACTAGTTCCCAGAATGTGGCAGTTATAGCGTCGTCCTTTAAGCATCACATGTTGGTAGCAAATCGAACAGTCTCCAAGAACACAACATATTATGAAACCTTCTACAGTATGACTGAATGAACCATAATCAATGGTAAGCCTGTTGCCTCGTGGGAAAAAAGCAGGTTAACAGTTTTATGCCCATCCGGTCAATTGAATTCCGCTCTCAGTTGTCATGCTTCTACTCCAGCAGCATTCTAACCATACCTCAAGTCCATTCGCTGAAGCCTTATAGCGGTGTTCTCCGAAGCATAAACAATCTAGTCCTAGATTTGGCGCCTGTCTCAGAAAGCAGATTGGCAATATCTTCATGCCCATTCTGTATAGCCTTGAAGAGTGGTATCTGAAGCCACCGTTATTAGCTTTATTTGCAGCTCCTCTCTCAAGGAGTTTCTGGACAATGCCTCCATATCCCTTTGCTGCAGCCAGTGCCAGCGGTGTTTTCCCGCCCCACTGACCCTTGGTTTCAACTGCAGCGCCTCTCTCTAGAAGCATCTGAACAACGTCTTCATGTCCATTCTCTGCAGCTAAGGATAGTGGTGTCTGACTATTCTGATTATCGGGCTCAATTGCGGCTCTCAAGAAGCATCTGAATGATACGTCCGTGCCCGTTCGCTGCAGCTAATGATAGCGGTGTCTGACCGTCTGAATTTTTGGTCTCAATTGCGGCACCTCTCTCAAGAAGTATCTGAACAATGTCTTCATGTCCATTCTCTGCAGCTAAGGATAGTGGTGTCTGACCATTCGGATTATCGGGCTCAATTGCGGCACCTCTCTCAAGAAGCATCTGAATAATACGTCCGTGCCCGTTCGCTGCAGCTAATGATAGCGGTGTCTGACTGTCTGAATTTTTGGTCTCAATTGCGGCACCTCTCTCAAGAAGCATCTGGACAATACGTTCATGTCCGTTTGCTGTAGCTAATGATAGCGGTGTCTGACCGTCTGAATTTCTGGTCTCAATAAAGGCGCTTCTCTCGAAAAGCATATGAACAATGCCTTCCTGTCCATTCTCTGCGGCTAATGATAGAGGTGTATGCCTATCTGAACGTGTAATCTCAATTGCGGCACCTCTTTCAAGAAGCATCTGGACAATACGTTCATGTCCGTTTGCTGCAGCTAATGATAGCGGTGTCTGACCGTCTGAATTTCTGGTCTCAATATAGGCGCCTTTCTCGAGAAGTATATGAACAATGCCTTCCTGTCCATTCTCTGCGGCCAGTGATAGAGGTGTCTGACCATTCAGATTTGTTTCGTGTATCCCGATATTACTTCGCGTCAACAGCAACCATACACCACCTAGATTTCCTGCTTCCGTGGCCACCAATAATGCTGCTGGGTCGATGTATTGGGTTGGCAGTTTGACCTCGTCATAAAGATGGATACTCTGTGGGGAAATGTCGTCTTGTTTGGCAGCGATTCGTTGGCGTATGAGCATCGTGCGACCACCTCGGACACAAATCCTTCTCACAGGATATTGGATCGGTCGAAAGGCTTCAAGATCGATATGTCGGAAAGAACCGCTATGAACCCTCTTAAACTGACTCATAGTGAGAGTCAAGTCCTTCAAATAGATGGCTATCACCTTATCTTGCTGGGTCTCTTCTGTGCGGGTTCTTTCCGTACAGTTGAGGATTGCGAGACCTAGACCGTCGCCTGATATTCCTGCGAAGCCAATGTCTAAGTGCACCCCTCTACTATCGACAGTGAAAGGGCTGTCAAGTCTGCCGAACAGATTGGATCGCACAATGTTGTGCGAATGGGCGAATGCGGCAGGAGAGATGGCGAGAAGCCCGCTGCAATCATCAGAAGACACCCATGCGAAAAGACTCTGATCATCTGAAATGCGCATAATTTCCTCCTGAAGTCTGATAAACGCATTCTCGCCCTCCCCGTAGATTAGTGGCATGTTGACGTTGAATATGCCCATGAGGGAATAAGCACGGTCTTCCACTCTCCGCGTCTGTCGTTCCGCAGCCCACGACATCCTCTGTGCTATGCTAGATGTTTCGATATCCTCATCTCCGGAAAGAATGCCGGCGGGAATCCCGGTGTACTCAGATAATCTGTCCTGGAGAGTTGCTTTATCTCCCAGAGATTCCCATCTCTTATTCAGGAATACCACCTTTGATGGAGCAATCAGCTCCTGAAGGGTCCAGCCTCTGGTAAGCCATCTACTCTTGTCAATTTCATCATCAGATTGTACGTCCGCAAGAATGGCGTAGCATAACTCAGACTTCTGGTACCAGCGATACATGGAGTTGATTGCCTCAGACAACTCCGCGCTGCTGGTTTTGTCAATGCAACATGTATCGATCCAGACATACTTGTACCCGTCTGCCCTTGCTACCGAGCAGCACTGTATGATTTTCTTGTATCCGCTCTTTTCCTTCGCGCTGACCGCGTTGATCTCCTGATAAGTGACTTCCTCTTCGCCCCAGGTATGTGACAAAATCGCGTAGGGCGGTAATTCATAATCGAAGAATTCCTGGATTACGAAGTCCCCGGCGTCAGACAAGCACGTGTTTAGCAGACGCATAGTGCAAGTTGGCCCAGATGTTTCGTCTTGAACGTGAATAGTGCTCTTTATCCGTCCAGTGGAATGATGGAGTCGGAAGCAATGCGTGAAGACTTCAAGGGCAGCCAGCCTCATCGGCCAAGTCAGCCAACAATCGTTCTGGCGGTCGCTTGATGAGTTGGCGAGGCTGAAGGACAAGGATGTGCCCGTTTGCCTTTAGCTAGCACAGCCTCATTTTGTGGCGGTCCGCATCAACCTTGTACCCTCCACCATGACAACAGTAAAGCAGTACTTTCTAAGGAGCTAGACTTGTGGATCACAGTGCCAAGGCAAAGCTTTGGAAGTCTGTCTATCAAAGTATGCGCTATCACAATAAAACCAGAGAGAAAGTCGGTTGTGCGAAGCCAAGATCGTTCAGACGTGAGTCCTAATGGTCCTTGTTGTAGCATCACGTGCTCTGGGAAGGCATTGATCCCGGACAGACAACGTCCCAGCGTACACTCATCGAATTCGTCCAGAAGGAAAAGCTCTTCAACAATACAGGGACCCATCTGCAAGGCCAGGGTCTTCGAGACACGAACACAATCGGAAATTCAGTATAGAAGAGCATCTTGCCAACCTCTGCAGGGTAAAATCATTCCTGTCAGACAGCCCAAGTAGTTTGATGGAGTCTCATGACAAAATTGCTGGAACAATGAAAGAGTGAAGATGGTAACACTTTGCAAGGAGCCATTGTATCAAGAGCTCTAGCGACCACCGCTCTCTATATGAAAAGAGAGTAGAAGAGCACTTGTAGGCATGGAACAGTCACCTTGTTTATTGTCAACTTGGCAGAGTATTTTGATGATAATGGTGTTACTTGGAGAACAATAAATGCTCTTGCCAAGATCGTGTCTGCTGCATTGACACTTCAGAACAGACAATGTTAGAGGAGATGTTAAGAGCGATGCTAAGCATCATGAAGAAAGCAACCCGTGACCTTGATTCTGCATGAATAGCAAGAGCGACAGAGAAAATAACAACGTTATCTATGAATTGGCCAATAAGGGAAGAATATTCAGCACGCATAGAACCATCCAGTAGCGTTCAGTCAGTTTTGAAGCGGTCGGTTCTAATACTTACTACGTACATTCCAAATTATTGTTCATATTTGAGTATATCCCCATGGTCTTGACATATAAATGAATATACTCACCAGACCCAATTTGCAATAGTGCCTCGTACTCGTACCTCTTCCATACATAACTTGACTTTATAAATCTAAAAGTAGTCCTACCCTCAGTCCAGTGGATGCCATCTCCCCTCCCCACCCTCACTCAGCCTTACAATAATACGTTCGGAATCCCGCCACATCAGTCATTGTAGTAGTTCCAGTCCCCACCCAGCTGCCATCGTATTGTCCAACGCACTAACCCACGGATCACATCGTCCGACCGAACTATGTGCTGCTACTTGCGTGTGCAGGTGTCAAATAGTGTCATGCTGGCGTGAGCGACCCGGGTCCCTAACGTGTCTCGTGATCCAGGTATCCGCGGGTATTTACCCGGTAATGATGCTGTACATGATTGTAACCATAGTACTTTTCCGACTTGCCATCTTGTAGGTACCTTGGGTTGCAGTGACCTTCGACATTGATGTTTCCGGCATCTGTGTTGATTACTAACAAGCTAACCTGTCACCTAGTTGTTAACTTAATTAATCAGTGATTAGATTCTTGGTTATAACCAGGAACCGACCGATAGAAGCGAGTCAGTTGGTTCTGTCAGTTTATTGTACTGAGCTTGAGACTGGAGCACAGAAGCCCGACTATGAGAGGCCCAGACCAATAGAGGGTGGGGAATGTGAGCTCGCTTGGGGGAGTTCGGCTAGCCACGCCGCCGGTTGGATAGATGGCTTTAGCTGGGGATCCCTGGCTTGGCGGGTTGGGTCGTCGGTAATTAGTATAGCCAGCATCTTTCGATCTATCTATGTCACGAATGTAAATGCCGGTTAAGAATAACCGGTTGATGCATGTTTCACTGCAGAAGGCCGAATATTTTACGTGATGGATTACGAATTTGACCAACCCAGCACGACATGGGGTAAGGGTGGTTGTGATGACGACCAAGGCATGGGCAAGATGTCGGTGTCAACTTCCGACGGACTGCAAGGGGAAGCCAAGACGGGGATAGCCTACTATGGGGGACTATTAGTAGTGTTTGGTAATAGTTGCTACCTGGGTTGCCGCTCAGCATGTTTAGGGAGTGGGATGGACCGGAGATTCGGACTCAAGCTGTATTATGCTGGCCAAGTTCTTCTTCCATTGTCTGGTCTTGGTGGGCAGGTCAGGTCCAGGTGATTCATCGCTTACATTCTTGACCTCCGACGCCAACCATTCCGCTGACTGAGGTGATTATTTGGGGACACCACATTCTAACGACATCATATGTGCAACCGTTTCAAGTAGACAGGAAGTATAGGCGTGGTCTGGTCACACTGGTGTTCCATGACTTTCAATCACTATACAGCTAACTACCAATGATGGCCTGAGGAGTCAGCACACCCACCCGGACGATCCCTGTCTGGAGATATGCGGGGTATTTTCCGGTGTGGTAGAACATGCTGTACTGCCTGCGTAAGGATGCAGGGTGTAAGCCTTGTTGCACGAAGGACCTCATAAGACGACAGTGAGAGAAGACACTTCGTTTGAATTGCTATCTGCCTTCTGTATCTTGGATTGATCAACCCGGTCAGCAACTTCAAGCAATGGGTTGCTGCATGATGAGTGAGGTGATCGTCAAGTAAAAGACTTGGCTGTTTCGGGAGATGAAATGTACTTCTCACAAACCAATGCTCGTTCGTAGATTTCGGTATCGTGTCAGATCATCCATGCGATCTAAGAAGTACTAAGATCAGCCTACCAATCAGGAAGTGCTACATAGTTCATTCCCCCTGGGGCCCGGTAACCTAGCTAGTAGCTCCCTACCGCTAGTTTCTCTTTGTGCAGCTACCCCACAATCATCAAAAGTTCGGACTAGGATGGGGTGATGTTGTCAGTCAACCAGGAGTCATGACCCCTATACGAGAACAAGCAATGTATTGACCATGCTTCGATGAGCTGAGTCAGTCTGATTGGGAAAGAGAGTCGATCACTCGGCCGGAACTTGGACATGTGGCCTGCTTTCATCAATTTCTCCGTGGAAGAGGAGAAAACTGTCAGGGATTGAGTTCTCCTGATCTCTGGGTCAAGGAGAGGAAGGTCGTGGATGACGAATGATGGAAAGAGGAGAAGGGGGGAGGAAGCAGGAGTGACAGGACTAGCGCTCTCCGCAGGATCACGGGATCCCGCCCGGAGCAAATGAAGGGCGGGCGTGTAGTAATTGTTAGGTAAGGAATATTGCATCAGGGGTGCGTGCAGGTCTGGGGTAGATGGCGACATACTTTTGAGAACGAAACTATATCTGTTCATTACTATAGGGGATGATTGTCTTGGGGGTTCATGGGAAATGAAGATGACACGCAACGAATTACTCTTACGAGAATGGCTGTGTCTCTCATCCCACCTACTAGTCTATGGAGTACTATACTGAATTATGGATAACTCACTAGTGCCAGTAGGGAGGAAAGTCCCGATGGTCGGAGGAGTGCGGACTCGGCCTCGAGAAGATCCCGCCCCGTCGGGCAGGTCACGGGGCCACCAGCGGCGGTTTTCCATTATGTCATAGAATGCAGGCGGTGATCCCGATCCAGCAAGACTCGGCCATGGCGCCAGCAAATCCGCCATCGAATCATCACTTTTGTCGACTAATGGAAATCTGTCTGGTAATCTAATTCTTCTCTTCGAGATATTGCAAATACCATCTCTCACCGGTAAGATGACAAATAGAGAGAGGGTGTATTGACTTCGTAGTATGTAAGACACCATCTCTCAGAATGCATCTTCTCACCACAACCTCTGCATTCTGCCAACTTCCGACCGATTGATTGATAACCTTACCGTGGTATCCCGGGTATCGCCCCCGAACGTGGATTAAAATAGTACGTAGTTCGGCCGTGTGAGAAAAAGCAACCAATCCGCAGCGGAAGGCGATCGATCAACGGTCAAAGGATTCAAGGATGGATGGGGAGGACCACTCACAATGCAGCAAAGTGGAAGTAGTACCAAGTAAGAATGGAGCAGCCGAATGGTACCTCTTTTTGTCTTCGCGGCTTCCGAACAACCGGATTCGCCGCTGGGAGGGATTGAAGGGCCCCATGTGGTCAGTTGGTTACAGAGTAAAAAAAAGTAGTTAGTCCGAGTCACCGGCGGGATCCATGGGCTTCTCTGTCTTCTCTGCGCTGAGCTTCCCTTTCCGCCTCCACTCCGCGGGCAAAATAACCGTGTAAAAAAAATTACCAAGAGACAGACACAGAGAGGGCCAGTGTCACCGTTGTTTGTTGGCTGCTGGCTGGTTGGCAAACCCGTGTCTGTTCGCCTTACTTAATGGAAATTTGACGTCGACTTGCAGTCTCTTGCCGCTTTCTTCTCTCTTTTTCTTTATTTTCTTCCTATTCTCTCATTTTGCATTCCCCTTCTAAAACTACTTTGTACTGTTTGATTACTCACCTTATTTTTTACCTTTCTCCCCGTGCTTGGTATTTTTATCACCGACATCAACTTCCTTGATTCCTTTACCTTCCCCTCCCCCCTCCCCCTCCATTAATTGATCTGCACAAAAAAGAAGCAGCCCTGTTGAACCAACATTGCATAGCTCACTGCACGGTCCACTGGCTGCCCCTCTGCCTAAGCGAATCATTACCCTGTCCGCTGGCTTGGATCTCTTGGAGTCAAATAGCGTGTGCCCGCCTCGCGGCGCGGCCTCGTTCCATCCGCCGCGGATTCTGTGACTAACAGCAACAACCTTCACACTTTGGCTCCGAATATACGCTTAATTACGTCTCCAGCGCCCCTCTTTGGCATCTTCTAGCGTCCTTTGCAGCCAGGGGTGTCTTGGGTGGAATCTGGGGAAAGAAGAAAAAAAAAAGCTTTTCCGTTTTTTCCCTTCTTTTCCTCTTTTCTCCCACCGTCCTTTTGCCTGTGTGTGCGTGTGTGTGCCTCTCCTGATATTCTCGTCACCTCACCACCCTTTTCACTGGGACCGGCCCTACTTTCCTATATAGAGCCTCCCCCAAACCATACGCCCTCCCCCCCTCTTCATCATGTCGGCCGCCACCACCGTCCCGCTGTCTCTGCACAAGACACCACAGCCTAGGTACTCTCCCGCTGTCTCGGGAAACACCTCGCCTACTGAAGGCTCTCGCAACGCCTCCCCTCAACCCTCTACTTGCTCCTCCCAGAACTCCCGGTCCAGCAGTCGCCGTCGGGAGTCGTTCGGTTCCATCAAGGAAGACGTGGATGGTATGTATATCAATCGAATGCGCAAGGATGGTGTCATGGCAGATCACTAACACGTCATAGGCATTGCCCAGTCCTTCGTCGATACCCACATCGAACAGTCCCCTCAAGAGTCCACCAAGCGCAGCCCTATTGAGATGCAGCCCGACTTTTGCTGCCCATGCGGTGGTTTTCTAGGCTGGAAGCAGATCCGGCTGGGTGGCAAGAGTCTGAGTCGGAGCTACAGCGATCTCCGCAGCCTGGGAAACTTGCATGCTCGCGGCTGGGCCTGGGATACGCCCGATGTCGCTCCGCCTAGCAAGCCGGCGCCAGTGGAGGAGCAGAACCTGCAGGTGCCGGAAGTGAAAGAAGTGGAAGTGGAGCAGAAGCCGCCTGCAGGCACCTCCGCTTTGGAACGGCTACCCCCGGAGGTTCTTGACCATCTTATCTCCATGCTGGCATTGGACGTGCCCCCTAATGGATATACTCCCCGTAATGTGGATTTGATCTCGTGTTTGCTTACCTCAAAGACATTGCACGCCGCCACCCTCAGTGTGTTGTACAGGAACATGACATTCCCCCACTCTATTATCTTCTCCAAGGCTCTCAATCATATCTCTCGCTATCCTGCACTGGGCACGCTGGTTCGCCGCCTTGACTTTTCGCATTTCACGTCGGTTGGATTGGGTCGCACCAAGCAGATGAACGCTGAAATTCAGAATCTTACCGCCAAGACGCTTCTGCAGTGCCTGGAACTGCTGCCCAACCTCAAGGAATGCTTGTTGCAGGAACATGTCGAGGGCGATATTAGCTTGGATGTGCTTCGGAAGCTGTTCACCGGTCTTCCGAACCTGTCCGCCGTGGATTTCTGCGGCTGCTCTTCCCAATCCTTCTCCACTCTCTTCTTAGAGGCCTTGATTTCCGGTCCTGGTGTCCCCTTGACCCTGCCGAACTTGCGACGGATTTCTCTGCATGAATGTAGCAGTCTCCCCGCGGCTGCTTTCGAGATCCTTCTGCCGCGCCTGGTCAACCTCACTCACCTCGATGTCACCCACACGCAGATCACCGAGGACGCATTGTTCTCTATCCCCGAGACCGCGAAGATCACTCATCTCAGCATCTCCCGATGCTCTCGCCTGCGGGGCTCTCGAGTTGTCGAGTTTCTGTCGACCCACCCAGCCGTCTGCGACTCGCTGGTGTTTTTGAATCTGCTGACGGACCCCACCCGATCCCGGCTCCTGGAGGAGGAGGATGTGCAGGCACTTCTCCCTCGGTTGCCTTCTACCCTTCGTTCGCTCAACCTCGGAGGGGCCAAGGTGACCTCCGCCCATACTCAGGCCTTGTTGCCCTTGACGAAGCATTTGGAGGAGCTGGGTCTGAGCTCGTGCGAGCTCAACGGCCAGGATCTCAACACATTCTTTGTGCCACCCAAGCCGGTTGATGGAGAGCCGACCACTCCCTGGGTTCCATCCACGCTGTGCTACCTGGATCTGAACAAGGCCAATCAGCTGACGATCGGCACCATTTTCAACCCCAACGCGTGCGTTATTCTCTCGCCGCAGAGCTACCCGCTGCAGGTCATCGAGTTCAGCGACAAGCTCATCGCACCTCTGCGCGAGCGGGCGCGCAACACCCGCACCTCGCCGGACTGGACGGTACGCGAGCTGGGCCGTCGGGGATGGTATGTGCGGGACCCGGCCTCTATGCCGGAGATTATGCTCGACGACGGAGCGCGCTCCTGGAAAATGGGCGCCCGTTGGTGGGGCATGCGGAAGATTCCGGTGGCCGTGGGCGACGTAGGCGGGCTCTACGGGCACTACATGTTCAAGAAATGAGCAAGTCTTTGATTTATACCCTTGCTATCTTTTTATCATCATTATGTATGGCGCATCATTGGCCGGCGTTTTGATTTGGGCCACTGCAACGGAACGCGCCAAAAGTGTGGTTCTGACGACATTGTTTTGTTCTGCATAGCGGGAGCGAGTTTCAGCGTTGGGAGAGCTTGACGGTTGGCTTGGCTTGCTGCTGCGCTTATGATACCTTGCTGTTGGTCGGGTTACGGTTTGTTACTTAGGAAATTGATAGTTATGTTATAGAATCTCATCTTAGTATGCAGCTTCCTGTAGATGTTAAAGTTGGGCGTAGGGAATAACCCAGCAAAGTAGTCAACAGCAAAAAAAGGACCAGTAATTTTGATTTAAAGCACGAATTCTCGACCGATTTATATGCCTACACTAAGTAAGCGTCGCAACCAACCTCTCCCCAAGCCCCCGAATACTCTCCTCAAACTCCCACGTACTCCCCGCCTTCCAATCCGCCCTATTCCCAGGAACCGCCTCTCCCCCAACAAACCCAATATACAGGACATCATCACTCACATGCCCATTATTCCCACTAATTCCATCACCGGGGAAACACAACTTCGCCAACGCAATCGACGCCTCCCCAGTCCAGCTCCCGCCAGCCGTATCTCCCCAGATGCCATAGAACTAAACCCTCGTCAGCAACTTATTTCCTTTCCCCCCTTCTCCAAAGGAGAAAAAACAACCCCCTCTTCCCGGCGGGCGGGGGGGGGGGTATATACTTACAAGTTGATCCCCACAAACAACAACCATAACACTCAGCGGCCACATCCCATCGCGCTGGGGATCGTAATCTGTATTCCCGAAGACAACATACGGGTGGATATTAGCGTCTATATCAGGAATGCCGTATTGGGAGGAAACAATGTCTTTGAAGCTCGTTTGGTCTTGGATGGATTCGTCGTAGCCACAGTTACCCCCGTGCGAATTCGCCCCGTCGCAGTCTATGTCCATGTTGTCGTATCGACCGCCTAGCGTGGGGCTGTGGAGGAATATCGATCGGTTGGAGAGGTCGCTGCAGTAGGTGAATGTGCTGTCCGTGGGGTTTTGGCCGTCGTGGAAGCCTGTTGCGAGGGGGTGGGTGCAAGGTTTGGACTATTTGGTATCTCTCTTTAGCGGAGGGGGTGGTGTAGGGGGGTATAGGAGGGGAGAGGGGATTTGATTGGGGCAGACCTTGTGCTTGTTGTAGAGGGCGGAGAGGTTGGGAGGGATGGAGTAGGCGGTTGTTAGGAGGGGGGCGGTGGTGGATAGGAGGAGGAGGAGGGGGTGGTGAGGAGGTGCATTGTGGTGGTGATGGTGGTTATTGGGTTTGGTGGTGTTGGTTCTGGTCGTGGAGGTGAAGATAATAATTAGATAGGTGGGTAGCTAGGTGCGGTATCTTGTTATGTGGGGTTGGTGTTGTTGTTTAGAGCCCTAATTGATGCCATCATTAGGTGTATATGACTCGAAGCGAAAGTCAATCTTTGTGAATATTACAATTTACTAATTGGGTGTTTGATATGGGGATACGGTGGTTACAATGCAAATGGGTTGAGATCAGCTACTGTGTTATGAGTTTCTATATTCGGCAGCGACGACTATAGCTATTCTATCTAGGTGCTTATAGGAGAAAGGTACTATGATATCCAAGATCGCTGCTATATCTATGGCAGGAAAAGTATCTCCGGTCATAGAACGCAGGGTCTCACAGAGTAACCCCGAGAATTGGCTCAAGTGGTTCAATTGGTGGGATTGCGGAGTTGACATCCGATGAGGAGAAGCGAATGGTGTAACTCTAACCACTATATATAGTATTGACTGTTAAAGAACATAGTATGTTTATATTGAAATCCAGCCAAAAGCAATGGATTCAGCATGATACGTACTAGGAGAATTAGGTACAGATATTTGCAGCAGAGACGAGCATGCATTTAAATGTCTTCCCATTAATGAGGAGACCTCTACAACAGTCACAGTGGCAACAACTCATCTCCTGTAGGCGGAGAGAAGACCCGCGTTATCAGCATAATCGTGATACCAATCCAGGCACCTGCATGTCTGGGGCATCACCCTATGATTGGATGGCTCGTGTTGAGGTGGAGGGTGGGGCAGATAGCAGTGGGGCAGTCTGGCCATGAGTGAGAATGACTCATGCTCCATGGCCCCACGAGTGATTACTTGGCGGGTGCAGTTTAGCTGTCTTCCTGCTGTGATCATTCTGTATCATCTCGACTCACAGAGACTCATGATAGACCATGCTGCACTCATCGTGGTGAGTTCTGACGATGATCTGAGTCTATTACAGCAGCATATAGACATAAAAGAGACAGTTCTACGTAGTAAAGTAAAGCGTTTATAATACCAATTGAATGGATTCAGTTGTACTTCTGCAACGTTTAATCTGCCATCAACACGATACCACTGCACTACATGCCACTTTCCTCCGGTCCGTAAGCACCAGCCCCATTCCGACTAGCTTAGCGCC